GAACTGTCAACAGTTTGTCACGATGTATACAGTCGAATGCTTTGGACATGTCGATTCCAAGAATGGTCATTTCCCGCCGATAATGCTGACATGTTGCTGCAAACCATCTGTGGCTCCAAACAAGGTCCGCCGTAGATCGGCCTGCTCTGAAACCACTCTGCGTCGGAGACAAGTACTCACCGACTTTCGACGATATTCTTCGCAATGTAATAATGGAGAGCGTTTTGCGTAATGATGTAAGGAGGACAATAGGGCGCAGATTTCCAGGTGGTCCAACCGTCTTTCCTGGTTTCTGCAACGGTACCGGTGTGCCACATCCTAGGTCAAGGTGCTGGTGAGTTGTAAACATGCTGTTGAACAGACAGGCAATGTGAGGTGCTAGGTTTTCTCTTCCATATTTCAAGAGTTCGCCTGGGACTCCATCTGGGCCAGGGGACCTTCCATTATTCAGTTTTTTCAGTGCGTTGGAGACCTCAGCAGATGAGATTTGTCTTTGGAGGCTTCTTGGGCGACCGGTGAATGGCTCGACGCCTGCATCCACATTCCCACGAAACTGGTCATGGAAGTGGCTCCGGACCGCAGATGCCGCCTCCTGGTCATCGGCTATGAAGCGACCCTTCTGGTCATGTACAATGGGCTTTCGGCTTGGCTTTCTAGTCATCAGCTGGACTGCTTTGAACATCCGTGCTCCATTCTTCAACCTCTCGACTTCCGCTGCTCTCTCTTGCATAATTTTCTCTGCATTGTCACGGCATTTTGTTCTTATAGCGTGAAGGATTCTGTTTCGTTTCGTCTTGAGAGATTCTTTGGTGTCAGGGTTGTTAGTGCTACCAATGCTGATCCGCAGTGATCTCTGTTCCAGGGACAGCAGCTCAATTTCATGATCTGGTGCTTTGCGACGAGTTTTCTGCTGGACTGTGCCAAGGACATCACCTGCTGCACTCCCGACCACTTCCATAAGCCTCCGGGATCTTTCCTGCAGGCTGGTATTGCCTTGGACCTGATCGGCAGCTAGCAGCTCACTGGCCAACTTCTCAGCATATTCCTCTTGGACTTGTCCTTCGGCTAGTTTGAATGTGTTGAACTTAGGCGCCTGCAGATCATCTTTCTTCCTCTGTCCAAATATTCCATATAGCCTCTGGAGGTCCAACCGTGCAACAACGAGCCTGTGGTCAGACGAGAGGGTGCATCCACCATAGCTACGACTGTCAAGGAGAAGCCGCCTCTGGGTAGATTTACACAGCACGTAATCTATTTGGTTATACACAGGAACAGAAGCTCCACTGGCTCCATCCCTGCGATGTCCCGTCCAAGTAGTCACATGCCGTGCATTATGCTGAAAGGCAGTGTTACAGATGAACAAGTCACTAGCATGGCAAAAGTCTATCAGGCTTTGGCCACTCAGGTTCCTTTTCCCTCTACCATGCCTCCCACAACATGTTTCTCTTGCATCCGACTTTTTCCCAACCTTAGTATTGAAGTCTCCAGCGAAGAGGACGATAGCTGACGATTTTATTTGATTATATGCACTATTCAAGTCGGAATAGAATTTGTCCAATTCATCAGCGTCGCGGGCAACTAACGAAGACGTTGGTGCGTACACATTGATAATGGCGAGAGTGGATGCCTTGGTGCCTCCATTGCCCGCCCGTGAAGGCAGGTTGATAGTCAGCACAGCCACTCGGTCCGACAAGCTCCAATATTTCTGAATTTGCGACGATAACGAAGACGACACAACAAATGCAAGCCCATAGTGGCGACATTGAGGTGCCAGGGCGATAAGTCGATAGCCGTCCTTCTCAGTGTCAAGGCTGCCAGTCAGCTTTGTTTCCTGAAGACAACACAAGTCGATACGATAGCTTTTTAGGTCGCGTCGCAAGGCGTCCTGACGGAAATTTGAGTTCAGCCCGCGGACGTTGAAGCTGCCTACGGCAAACGGCCTGCGCTTCGGCTTTCTTCCGCCCATTCCCAGTATCCTAGCCAGTCGTCATGTCCAATAAATACAGAACTCTCCCGCTCCAAAGTGGAGGAGCAGGAGAGAGAGAGAACGCAACTTCCCACGCAACTTCCCTCAACATTCAGCCACCTAAATGTCACGGAGAAGGAAGTTGACTGCCGAGTCTTTGTCACGTTTCTTTAGAAAGGCATCTTGGTAGCTCACTCCGATGCGAAGAGCCTACCGGACGATGTGATCTTGCACCGATACATGGGGAAGTAAGCTAGTATGCTGGATGTGTTATATCTTCTAATGCATGACACACCTATTCGACAGGCAATATACACACGCTCCCCCTCGTGCACCTGGGCATACAAAAATGTTCCAACGCACATGCACTCACAAGCAATTGATATGTTGTGTTGGGGGTTGCGATCACTTCCTTTTGGATAAGGATGTTAGAAGAATATGCTAAATGCAGTTTCCAAGTTGGAGGGAAGTTGTGAACGGAAAAGCAGTTAGCAGTATAATGTTTTGGACATAATAGTATTTGATTATAGACTGGCTCTAAGGAAGCAATAGATAACCGTTGCAGCATGATATCATCACATATTATGATCTTCAGTGATTCCCACCGCCCACCGCCCACCGAGAGCCGACACATAAATGGCCCCAAAGGGCTAGCCCACAGCTGTCCACCATGGTCCAATCACACAAGCGGCCATAGAGGCCTACGGCAGCCCACCAAGCACTAAATGATCCTGTCAGCACCGGGCTGCTAGCATGCTGCCCACCGCGGGCGCACAAATGGCCGGCGCTGCCAGCAACTTGTCCACCGAGGGTGCATGGACGGCCTTTGAGGCCAGCAACCTGCCCACCGATAGCTAAAGCCACCTGCTCACCGGATACTAATACATATACCACACCGAGGGCTGAAGCAAACTGCCCACCTTGAGCTAAAACATTCACCACACCGAGGCCTGAAGCAAACTGCCCACCAGGAGTTAACACATACACCCCACCGAGGCCTGAAGCAAACTGTCTACGGGGGCTAACATGTACACCCCATTGAGGGCTAAAGCAACTCCTCTTAGTCGAACTTTCGGAATCGCTGTTTTCTGTGTTCGAACACTAGAGCCACCCTTTCTGAGCAATGTCTAGTTGTTACTGATGCCATGGTGGTCTCGGACTTTGTCCAAGCTCTCTTCTGCACCAAATATATTCATCGCGCTCCGCACTATTCTGCCCACGAGCACGTATCGCTTTTACGGAGTTATTGCCCTTCGACATAGGTTGCGTGGGCATTTATCAAGACTGCAAGCTCGGGTATAAGAATCCTGATATCTCCCCTGAATTCGAATTGCTGAAGTTGACGATGGCAAGAACAAATTGTTCTCAATTTCGTAAAAAAAAACACGAATGAAAGACGTGTGCCGCGTGATGCTGTGAAGATAGCATGTCAGAAAACACCAACAAAATCAGCGAAGCACTTGCCAGGGAAAGAAGGTGCGGAACTGCTTACCCGATCCCGCTGGAAAGTCCTTACAGTGTACTTGAAAAAAGCTAGTTTTCTGTCATCGTCTACCACCTGGAGTAATGGATGGCTTGAAAACGAAGTTTCATGCCCTGAATTTGAACGTGCGTCTTGTTCCGTGTATCGCTGAGTGCTGAAGGGTCTGCCTCAAACTCTGATGAAGACATCGACCTTAGCTGTAAGTGCAGCAAAGACGGGAGGCCAAAACTAAAGCTTGGTCTGTCGACAATGCTCTGCCTCAGTTTCTAGCTGATTTCTTTTCACGTTGAGTGGACAAAATAAATTTGAAAAATCGCTCTGGGTAGCAACAATTTTAATGATGTGGAGGAAGTACATTCCATTGAGGGCTGAAGCATCCAGCTCACCAGGAGCTATCACATACATCCCATTGAGGGATGAAGTATACTGCCCCCCCCCCCCACCAAGCGGTGAAGCATACTGCTTGACGTGAGAGAATAATGTACCGCCCACCAACGGCTGATGTGTACTGCCTGTACGGACTATTGAGAGCCAAGGAATAGCTGCTGACACCCACGACCTTCTCACGAAGGGCTAAAGCATACTGACCCCAGCGCCAATCTTGTACCGCCTAGCGTGTGCAAACGAACGACCAACGGGGCGAAGAATTCTCCCACCAAGGGCTTACATAACAATCCTGATGCCCGCTTACATCCCCCACCTCCACTCGGGAAGAAAACAAGGTGGCAAGTGAATGAAAGAGCAGGGACAAATTAATTAGAGACAGTGGAATGGCGGGGAAATGTAAAACGTAATTTCAGAAAATCAAGAAAGAAACTAAAATTAAGGACAGCTCCTTCATGTCCAGACAGATTTTGAGAAATTCAAGACATATCTGTTGAATTGAAATCAAAAAATTGCCCGTACAAATTGGCCAACTTCGGTCTTCTCGACAACCGGTGGCATGGCCAAGCAATCTGCCTCGCTTTACAAGCGTATTGCATCCCTCATTGCTGAGAAAAGCAGCGAACCATATTCGGTTGTCATGGCATTCATCCGCTGCCGCCTTAGCTTTGCTTTGCTCAGAGCAAGTGCTATGTGCCTGCATGGTAACTGCTCTGTTTTCGCTGTGCATGCACCTGTCTCTTCTTCTGCCTCTCTAGTTGTTGCCGAAGCTGGCACTTCCCGTCATTAATATTGTAGTCTTTAGTTCTTTAATATCAGTATTTGTTATGGCGAATCCATTACACACTTTGTAGCACGATTTCAAATTTTAAAAAGTAGAAATTGGTCAACTTGTAAACTGTGCAGGGACAGCAATATGACACATACTCACAGCACCAGCACTGTGCCTATAATACCCATGTGCCTGGGCAACTAAGCTTTCCTGTGCAAAGCCCACATCTGTTCTAATTCGTGCAATTCTTGCATGAGTAACTGAGCTTATGTATGATGCAGACATACTATATCATTCTGTGCTGGGAAACGTTTGAAATGTTAAAATGAAGTTTTGTCCATGCTGTTCTTTTCTGTTGGTGTATTGTGTTGTGATGTACATGTATGTACCTGTAGGTCACCACACTGGATGGTACATACATACGTGATATAGGCAAACCAGGCAGTGGTAATGCTGAATTCAAGTATCCCACTGATGTAGCTGTGGATGACGATGGTGATCTTGTGGTGGTTGACAGGGACAACACGAGACTGCAGGTAAGATATATTATTGATTAGTGTGGTTCCACTTTTGTTTAATTACACAATGTTGACTGGAAGTTCAGTACAGACAGCAGTCTTCCATTGTTCACATAGTACTAGAGTGTACAGTATGATCATAGTACTAGAGTGTACAGTATGATCATAGTACTAGAGTGTACAGTATGATCATAGTACTAGAGTGTACAGTATGATCATAGTACTAGAGTGTACAGTATGATCATAGTACTAGAGTGTACAGTATGATCATAGTACTAGAGTGTACAGTATGATCATAGTACTAGAGTGTACAGTATGATCATAGTACTAGAGTGTACAGTATGATCATAGTACTAGAGTGTACAGTATGATCATAGTACTAGAGTGTACAGTATGATCATAGTACTAGAGTGTACAGTATGATCATAGTACTAGAGTGTACAGTATGATCATAGTACTAGAGTGTACAGTATGATCATAGTACTAGAGTGTACAGTATGATCATAGTACTAGAGTGTACAGTATGATCATAGTACTAGAGTGTACAGTATGATCATAGTACTAGAGTGTACAGTATGATCATAGTACTAGAGTGTACAGTATGATCATAGTACTAGAGTGTACAGTATGATCATAGTACTAGAGTGTACAGTATGATCATAGTACTAGAGTGTACAGTATGATCATAGTACTAGAGTGTACAGTATGATCATAGTACTAGAGTGTACAGTATGATCATAGTACTAGAGTGTACAGTATGATCTTAGTACTAGAGTGTACAGTATGATCATACAATTGAACATCGATTATCCGACCACCTCTGGGCAGACAACTGTCAGGCGGTGTTCAGATAAGGCAAATGTTCCGGATAAGAAAACACACTGTAAATACATGTACATGTACATTGTAAATAGAATAGAGTGCTACTTTTCAAAATTTTCGTATTTTTTGAATGGCTCACTACATGCACAGTGCGTACTCTACGGCACGTGCGCCCAAATAAACTGTTACGGATAATCGAATGGTCGGATAGTCGATGTGCGGATAATAAATTTGTTCTTGCCATCGTCAACTTCAGCATTTCGAATTCAGGAGAGATACCCGGATTCTTATACCCGAGCTTGCAGTCTTGATAAATGCCCACGCAAACTATGTCGAAGGGCAAGAACTCCAGAAAAAACGATACGTGCTCTGGGGCAGAATAGTGCGGAGCGCAATGAATATATTTGGTGCGGGAGAGGGCTTGGACAACGTCCGAGACCACCATGGCATCAGTAACAACTTTCCATTGCTCGGAAAGGGTGGCTCTAATGTTCGAACACAGAAAACAGCGATTCCAAAAGTTCGACTTTAGCCCTCAATGGGGTGTACATGTTAGCCCCCGTAAGCAGTTTGCTTCAGGCCTCGGTGGGGTGTATGTGTTAGCTCCTGGTGGGCAGTTTGCTTCAGGCCTCGGTGTGGTGAATGTTTTAGCTCTAGGTGGGCAGTTTGCTTCAGCCCTCGGTAGCGTGAATGTTTTAGCTCAAGGTGGGCAGTTTGCTTCAGCCCTCGATGGGGTATACGTATTCGTATCCGGTGAGCAGGTGGCTTCAGCTGTCGGTGGGCAGGTTGTTGGCCTCAAAGGCCGTCCATGCACCCTTGGTGGGCAGATTGCTGGCAGCGTCGGCCATTTGTGCACCCTTGGTGGGCAGTATGCTAGCAGCCCGGTGCTGACAGGATCATTATTTTAGTGCTTGGTGGGCTGCCTGTCGGCCTCTATGGCCGCTCGTGTGATTGGACCATGGTGGACAGCTGCATCCGTCTATAATGCAGAGCCGCCGAGCCCGGCTGCCCCCGGCTGGCCCCGGCTGCCCGGACGTGCCTTCAGCACGGAGCTCGTGCATAAATTTAAAGGTGCTAACTACGATAAAGCCATGCACGTCCACCCGAACCTGTTCAACGAACTTGCAGCTACCCACTACGTCAATGACATCGAACTTCAACATGCCAAACCCATCGACTCGGAACATGCAATCGAATGAGTACTCGACCCCCATCCAGACACACACACACATTTAGCACAGATATGTTGATTTTAAAAATTTTAATTAGATATCGTTGATAGCTATCTGTGCTTGTATCATCGTAATCACACTGTTGACTGGCAATTCTCCGTAGTGCGAAGTTAGCTTCATCATATAGTTGGTTAGATGGCTGGCGGTCGATAGATGATGTTTCAAATGTTCAAGGGTCCGCCATTGGTTGTCGCTGTATGGGAGGAAACACATCAAAACATGTATAAGATCTCTGGTATTTCAAATAAAGAGAATTGCACGACAGATTACTTACCACGAACACATAAACTCAGGCTCCAGACCGGCCTCCAGCTTCCTCCTGTGGTTTCTCGACTTGAGGTGGTCGACGAACGGCCGGAGGCCGGTCATCGTCTTCGAGCACAAGGAACAAGAGAGCAGCATTTTCTCTCATTCAGGTTTGTGGAATGGGGCTGATCAAGGTGGATCGAATCACTTTTATCCCCACCCGGTTGGTCCTTGGTTGAAGGCTCAACATTATAACTCGGTTCGACGGGAAGGTTCGGGTGCGCCTTTTATGTATCTCCTGCACGCGACACCCTCACTCGGCTTGGTTGCGAAATCTTGTAGCTATATGTACTTTCAACTAAACAAACTTACCTCCACGTTTCTTCATCGAAGGAAAATAAATAAATTATTATGAGGAAGTAAAAGGAGCAGCATCTAGAGTACTTCGCCCGCGTTCTGTTTGAACCCGTTCAAACTTGTCGTGGGTTCTAGTTGATTCCAGAAACTTCCGCGTGATCGGAGTACGCTGTGCGTACTCTGAGCATAGCGAGGAGTAAAATGAAGTTTTTTATTACTCCCTTATGCAGATAGTGTGGCCGCGTACGACGCACTCCTCTTAACCTTTTGACCGGCGTACGCGAGGGCTCGGGCGAGCTTTTGATGCGTATCCGGTACGCGACTCCCGTTTTGCCTGGCTTTGTGGTTTGATGCGTACGAACTTGAAAATTTCAAACTCGTCGAAGCAAGTGGTGTGCACGTATATGGAAGCAATCTTCATTTCCTCAAATCATTTCGTAGTGACAGTGTTCCTTTTTTCATGCAGTCCTGGAATTATTTTCGCCTAGTCGTTTAGTCGGACAAGAGACGGACATCCCTCTTCATCTCCTTGCAGCATTGCTTCGTACAAGGTATGTGATCGTCGGCCATTGCATGTCTATCCGATTAGGATCGTACGCAATTCTTGCTCGTAGTCTGATTCCATATATAGACATATTTATTTTTTCGTAATTTTCCAGCGTTTGATTTATTTGTTCGTAATTTTTCACCGTTTCCAGCTAGAACACTTTCGTCACACATCTGCGCGTGTGAATGCACATGTGCATCTTACCTGGTGATGAGCATGATCCTCCCCCCGATTGAATTGTTGTATAAATTCGTGCAAGGTAAGTAAAATAGTTTACTAAGTCTTGCTGTTAGGTAAATCGGGGGGAGGATTTTTTTCCACCGACTCTCCAGTACCTGTAGACACGTATGTGATGGTGATTGGGTTATTACGGTCGTCATCAAAGTGTTGAAGGGGGTTGCGATGGTGATTGTGTTAGCAAAACGATAGGATCTGTACACATAACAACAAGATTTGCTAATAGGGTATATAGGACCTGTACGCACACACACATATAAGAATAACGATAGGATCTGTGCACGTAACAACTAGATCTAGAGCAAATAGGACTTGTACACATATAAGATGATTATTAGGGTTTGCTGAGTGTTGTTGTTGCCGTTGTGATCTGTAGTACCTGCACACATAAAAAGAGTAGAGTTGGCATGGTAATAGGATTGTCATGGTGATAGGGTTACTAGGGTTATCGTCTCTCGAAATATTAGGGTTATCATCACCAGAAATATTAGGGTTATCGCCATGGTGATAGGGTTATCAGGAATATTAGGGTTATGGTTATCAGGATTATTAGGGTTATCGCCATGGTGATAGGGTTAGGTGTTATCAGAAATATTAGGGTTATCGCCATGGTGATAGGGTTATCATCATCCGGAATATTAGGGTTATCGTCATGGTGATAGCCCTAGGGTTAGGGTTATCAGGAATATTAGGGTTATCGTCATGGTGATAGCCCTAGGGTTAGGGTTATCGTCATGTTGATAGGGTTAGGGTTATCATCGTCAGAAATATTAGGGTTATCGCCATGGTGATAGCCCTAGCGTTAGGGTTATCGTCATGGTGATAGGGTTAGGGTTACAGGGATTATTAGGGTTAATATGCCGCGATTTTTAGGGTTAAACGTACAGATTTAGGGTTAAATCGCACAATTTAGGGTTAAAACGCCCAGGTTTTTAGGGTTAAATCGCATTACGTCATCGATGACGTCATGTGTAAAACGCTCCGATCTTAGGTTAAATCGCAAAAATTTACCGTAAATCGCAAAATTTGCCGTAAATCAGAAAAAATTAGGGTTAAAACGCCCCGGTTTTTAGGGTTAAATCGCTATGACGTCATCGATGACGTCAGTGAGTTGGTACACGCCTAATACTTTCTACTTGCTTCGAGAGGTGGAACCCATGTTCCTTGAGAGGAAGAGCAGTGAGCCAGGAAGAGGGGCCTTTGCGGGACAGCTCATCCATACGACGGGCCAAGGGGCGGTCCGCAGCTTCTCGGAGAGCAGCGAAAGAGGCAGCACTAGCTTTCTTGGAGGACTTGGCAGCAGATGCTCTCTCACGGCGGGCTAGCTGATCCACGAAGTCGCAGGAATGATGCTGCCACTCTCGATCGTGCTGGTGGATGATCTCGTCAACCTGGCTGCTCGTAATGACTTGGGAGCCTGCAGTTGGGAGGTAGCAATTTCTTTGAAGTATGGCAAACTGATTCCACCGAGCCGGCAAGGTAGCAGAGAGAGGTCATCCACCGTGAATGTGCGTTTCCCTGTCAGAGCCGGAAGGAAGTGCTCCGTGACCGTGTCATCCAGGCGCTGCAGCTGTTCA